TTCGCCCAGGGAAGTGGAGTTGCTGGGCGCGTCGAGGGACACCTTGAGCGATGACGACGCGGGTAGGCCAACGTCACCTAGGGAAGTGGAGTTGCCTTCCGTTGCAGACGCCCCTCATCTATAGGCCGCCTAGGTTGCGTAGGCCCAGGACGCCGATCTTCGTTCTGTCACTGCGGCACAGTGACCACCTTGCTGCGAAGCCATGTGAGGCGGACTCCACCAAGCAGGCTCAGTGCGTGTTTATGCAGAAGCTGGGAGTCGTAGCAAGCTCGCCCCACGTCGATTCTGAGACGGTGCACAAGTACAAATCAACCTTCTAGGCACTGTTATCAGCAGGAGGCGCTGCAAGCTTCTTTTCGGTGGGGAGTTTGACCCGATGGCCATGAACTTAGATATGGTCGGGATGGACGAGGTTTGAGGTGTATCCTTCTCTTAGTCGTGAAAATGTATCTTGTGTAATCAAAACCACGTGCGAGAAGTGTGAGAGGTGTGGGCTGTGGGTTTCGGTAATCTTTGGATTAATGTGACTTGACAGTTTTGTAACAAAACTTTATACTCCTGCTTGATGAAAAACGTGTCAAGGCAGGATCTTGAAAAAAAAATGTATCCGTTGGGTTTTGTAATAGGGATGCCAATCAAGTAGCTCATGAACTTGTTAGGGATGTTTTCTTTTCAAAGAATTCTTGTATATATTGTTGGTTTGGTAGCAAACGATGTAACTATATTGTTTGATCAATAAAGCTAGCGGGATGGCATTTCTAAAAAAACACTGTTCTGGCTGAATTGTTGTGAGAGAAAAACACTGTTCCGACTGAAAAAAGAAGCCGAACAAGTCGAATGTGGGGTAAGCCGAACGGGGCCATGCGATGAACGTGGAGGCTGGAATGGAGAGAAATGGAGTTCTCGGGGTGTATTACTATTTATATACTCACTCATTATATTGGTCGGTAATTCTTGGTACAGTTTTTTTAGAAAAGTTGGTAGAGTAGTTGTTTGGTCAATAGCCAAAAGCAACCCAATAGTTACTTTGTGCCTTTTAGAGGAGTTTGAATCTTAGGTGTTGTTAGGTTCATCCATTTTACTTGGTGATTCGATTACATTGCTAGTTGATTGTGTTGTTTTGTGTTTGGTTCTAGCACAGTGTAAAGCGACCCAATGGTTACTTTTGCGCCTGCTAATTTCAATAGTTTACATTCATCCACAAACACAAGGAAGAAGGTGTCCGTTGTCTTTTCGCGGCATTAAAAAATTAGATCATTTCTTTGGCGCCAAATTGTACAAAAGAGTTAAGATCGCCAGGTTGTGCGTAGCTCTGTCTTCTTTTTCTGTCAATTCTAACAGTCTTTGCAAAATTTAGATGAAATTTCGGAATAAATTGAGGCGTAGTCTTTGTTCATTCTACCTATTGTGCCTTTTCGTTTCGTATCTAGTTTATGTGCTCTCTTGTGGGGAATCAAGCTTAATGCTCTGTTTGTAATTTCTACACTGTGTACTATCTTCAGATAGTAGAGGCTGGAACCATTTTCATTTCTTCTGAGAAAAACAGCCACATCTCTAGATTGTCTTCCACTTTTCTAATTGGTGGGTCTTAAGCCTTGCCTACTGCTTCATCTCCTAATACGCTCCCAAAGAGCTTGAGTATAGGGGCACTCAATTGCCAGGTGCAGGGTTGCTTCGAGGTTCCGCATGCACAATTGACAGAAAATAGTTGTTTACCCCCTCCCCTCTCTTTTTTTAGCCTGCCAGCGGTCCAAAGTTACAAAATCCAGTTTACAAGACAAATCCTATCAAAATCCCCTCAACTCATATGAAAACCCTGGGCACCAGCGAGGTCAAGTTCTTCCGTTGGTTACTCCGCCCGGTGCAGTTGCTCTATCCTAAGGCTCTGGCTCATTCAGCCTGGCTCATTCTAGTGCAATGAAAACACACAAGATTGCACCAAGGGAGCCAGGGCTCGAGCTAACCTCGGCCAGGCTAGCCGACCGTGCCTGAAAGGACCAGGCAAACAAATAGGCCACAAAGCGTCGCGACAGCCAACTAACAGTGACTTCCATCAATTTGGCTTGGTCTTGGGATGGAATGTAACAGCAGAGAGGAAGGCCAGCCATGGGAGCAGTGGCGAGAGAGATTGTTCATGGATTCTCTTCGTAAATTTTAAGGGCGCGTTTGAGACCCTGGCCCGGAGGCCCGGCTGCGCCCGTGGGCTGCAACTTGACATGTTTGTGGTCGTGGCCCACGAGCGAGCCTGGCTTCCTAGAGCCAAAAACGCCCTCTCCGCCTGGCCCTCTAGAAACGACCAAAACCCTCGTTTCTTTGGAGCTAAGCTCGTGGCGGCGCACGCAGGCGATTTTGGGCGGCGGCGGGGTGGCTCGCGCAGGCTCTGGCGGGAAGGGGAAACTTCTTCGCGTGCATCCCCGCTCCCCGCTCCGGCTGCTCTAAATGGCAGCGATTTCACCGGCCTTTATATACGGGTTCCCACTCTCCACTCTCTCCTTCCACTCGGTGCTTGCTCTTCCACCTCCCTCGTGAGAGACTGGCGGTGAGTGGTGGTGTGTGGCGGTGGCGGCGACCTCCGGCTGGTTGTGGGTTCGGTCACCGGAGCCGAGGTTCTTCGCTGCGTCCCTGCTCCGGCTGCTGCTGGGACTCCATGGCGGCGGTGTTCCTCTTCTTCTCCATCCGCATCTGCTTCGTCTTCTTCCTGATCTGCATCCTCTACTTCTAGATCTGCCTCCTCTTTGTTGTTTGGACCCCGAGCCAAGGTGAAATTGACCCCCAATCTTCTTTTTTGTGGTGCTTCTTGAAGTTCTTAGGGTTTCTTGTTCGTTGCTGTTCATGATCTGTTAGGGTTTCATACTTGTTATAACTGCTTCATGCTCCTATTAGGGTTACTTGTACATTGCTGTTCTTGATCTGTTGGGATCATGATCTGTTAGGGTTGTTGATTTGTTTCAGATTAGTATTGTACCTTGCTGTTCATAACTGTTTGATGCAGTTATTAGTGTTACTTGTACCTTGCTGTTCTTGATCTGTTAGGGATGTTGATCTGTTTCTGATTACTATTGCTCTGAGTTTTTTGTTCCATCATTGGTCGATGATGTTGTCCAAATTTAGCACTGGGAGGCATCATATACAAGATGCAGCCGTGCTTTTGTTCATATGCATTCATTTCACATTCATGTTGATGCCTAGCAGGGTACATTAAGCTAAAATCTTGTTACATTTTTACATGCTTGTAGATAGATTTGTCTTTGAGCCATGACATGCTGTGTAGGAAGGCAGCTGCCTTGACTGTTGTTATGGTTTCCTTTGTATCCACTAGGCTAAAAAGGAAAACCCCTTAACCTGAAACCCCACTGCCTGATCCTATAGCACTGGCCCTGATTAGGGATAAAAATGAACAGCGCAGACAGAGAACACTGAGAATGATATACAACTCCACTGATTTAGAGTGTATTTCTATGATTAGGATGAAGAGAGCTGCTTTTTTTAAGTTAGTGAGAACTTTTAGAGAGAGGAGTCTTGTCACTGATAGGGAGGGGTGTCAGTAGAAGAGCAGGTTGCCATGTTTTTACATGTTGTAGGGCACAACCAAAGATTTAGGGTTGTCCACCAGTCCTTTAGGAGGTCCATCCAAACTGTCCACAAGCACTTCCATCAGGTGTTGTATGCTGTGGGTGAGCTTAGGAATGAAATGATAAAGCCAGCTAGCACTACCACTCACCCAAAGATTCTTGGAAGCCATACATGGAATCCATATTTTAAGGTAATTGCATACCCTGGGTTCATTAGTTACATTAGACCTGTTGCAATGACTGACCCATGCTTTTTAGGATGTCATTGGCTTTATAGATGGCACTCATTTCCTAGCAAGGGTTCCTAGGCGCATGCAACAAGCTTTCAGGGGTAGGAAAAAGGATCCCACCCAAAATGTTATGGTAGCTGTGAATTGTGATATGAAATTCACTTATGTCCTGGCTGGCTGGGAGGGCTCTGCCCATGATGCAACTATTTTGGCAGATGCTGTAGCCAGGGAAGATGGCTTGAGTTTGCCAGAAGGTAATTGCACACCAACACTAATTACATATTCCATGGCCTATTAACACACACTCTCACAGTAGATGTCTTGTGTAGGTAAAATGTTCTTGGTAGATGCTGGGTATGCATGCAAAAATGGTTTCCTACCTCCCTACAGGGGGGTTAGGTACCATTTGTCTGAGTATGGCCCAAGGAACATGCCCACCAATGCAAGGGAGCTCTATAACCTTAGGCACTCATCACTTAGAGTGACTGTGGAGAGGGCTATAGGTGCACTGAAGGGCAGGTTTAGGATCTTGGACAACAAATCCTTCCACAAGTATAGGACACAAGTGAAGCTTGTAGTTGCCTGTGCCATTTTGCACAACTAGATCCTAGGTTTTGGCATTGATGAAGTAGTGCCTGATAAGGAAGGTTTCACTGCTTCTGTTGATCCAACCAACCTGCCCCCAGCCCATCTGGACCAAGACTCTGTTGACATGGCTAAAATAAGGGATGCCATTTGCAATGCTATGTGGGAAGGGAGGGGAACAAACACTATTTGATGTAATATGTTCTTGAATTTAGCTTCTGTACCCTGCTATGGAACTCATGTGTGTGTCATGGTGATGTAATAATTTGGTGGACAAAGCTGAGACCAATTTTATGCTTCATTCATTCTGTTGTTGTTAATCTTACTGTCAGTCTATTCTTCATGATCTGTCAGTCTGTTGTTTATTCATGCAATTGTTAATATTGCTGTCAGTCTGTTCTTGACTAATTATGTTGTTGATTTTATTACATGCCAGCCCTAGGATGGATTCAGGTGCATTTGAGGGTGGGTTTGTTGCTGGTACTTTAGTGATGGAGCAGCTCATCAATGGTGGTTCTGCCCCTGTTGTAGCCGGTAGGTCTTTGGTGCTAGTGTTCTTTGCCTCTGTTGTACTGGTGTCAGGAAGTCTTGCTCAGTGCAGCAAACCCTATTGATGTTGCTGCTCCTGTACGGGAATGGGGCTGTGAGGGCAATGAGGTGGACTAACACCACCTCTGGCTTTGTGCTAAGGAGGATGGCTGCCCTTGTTAGTGATGATAGCAGGCCTGACAAGGTTTTTAAGGACAAAGATGTGAATTATGTGGCCAAAGCCCTCAAGCTGTTCTGTGGGGAGGTCGTTAGCCCAACTCAAGTGTACAACCACTTGAGGAAGTGGAGGCAGAAATGGGCTAGGGTGAGCAAGCTGAAGGACCTTAGTGGTGCTCTTTGGGATGACCAGGCTCATGCTATCATGCTTGAGCAAGAGCACTACCTTGGCCACTACAAGGTAGCAATTCGATCTCGTCTTTGCCTTGACTACCTACATTTGTCTTTCTTAAACTACAATTGCCCAACCCTGCAGGACCATCCTAAAGATGCAGAGTTTCTTAACTGCCCTATTAGGTTCTACACTTGAGATGGAGGCTATCTTTGCTAATGCCATGGCCACAGGCAAGTTTGCACTTGGGTCTGGTGAAGCCTTAGGACAGAACTAGGCTGACAGTGTTGGTGCCAAGGCTGATGGTCCTCCTTTGACCCACACCACAGTTCCTAGTGATCAGGGAGGGGATAGCAAGACCACTGAACTGCTTCCTACCTCCTCAGTTGCTGTCCCAAAGAGGAAGAGAGGGAACTTCTCTAAGGAGAAGATGCTCATGTTGACTAACATGTCAGATGCTGTGAACAATGTGGCCAATGCTCTTAGGGAGACTGGACCTGCCCATGTTGATGCCAATATGTACCTTGCTATGATGGAGATGCCTGGCTTCAGTGAGGAGGCACTTATTGTTGCCTACACCTTCCTCTTGGACAACAAGGTTCAAGGCAGGGGCTTTGTGAACATGAGTGATGCCCACAGGGCCCTTTGGCTTAGGACCTTTCTGGCCAAAAACTACTATGTGTAGTTTCACTACACATGAAGGGCTAGAAGGCCGGGAGGGGTTGATCAGAGATGTATAGTTCCTCCACCCCCCTCACCCACTCTCTCTTCTTTTGACAACAGGAGCTTTTGTGTAGTCTGCTTGTTCTTTTGACACCTGACCTTGATGGTGTAGTTTGCCTAGGAGGGTGGCTAACAATAGGCAAGGATTTGGGAACATTTGAGCCCTTGGCTGCTGGGCTGAACTTGGTATTGTAAGAAACTTATTTGTAGCCTCTGTTGGCTACTTTTTATTTGATAACTAGTTGTCTATTTGTGTTGTTTATGCCCTGGTGGTAACTGTGGGATTTAAAGGCCTATGATGCATAAAACAAACATGAGGTGGCTACCTTATTCTTGTTTTGATGGTTTTGTTGTTGTGCTTTGTTCTTTATTTGCCTATCCTTCCATTCTACACTTATGCTCAGTTGTACTCCATAGCAACAACATCCTCTTGTGATGGCTGATGGCAGTGAGTGCAACTGATCAAAAGGTCTATATGGCAGTGAGTGCAACTGTTGTTTATTTGCCTCTTTATTTGGTTCTTACAATTCTTGGTAGCCACCAATGACTAAACAAGGAAAAAAACCACAAAACTACTAAGTTGAGGCTAATTTTTTTATCAAGTAGCCGATGATGTTCACCATCATTCAAACTGAATGGTCGACTGAGGCATGTCATTCAGACCACTTACATGTTCTACATTTGGTTGGTTTCAGAAAATGCCTCCTTGCTATGTGGTCTTTGAAGGGAAGAAACCTAGGATTTATTTTACATGGTATGAGTGTGCTAAGCAAGTGTTTAGGGAAGAAGGGGTTATCTATCAGAAGTACAACAACTATGATGATGCTCTTAGAGATTTTAATGCAAGGGTACCTCAAGAATTCTTGCTGTTACCAATTGATGCCCCTCATGGGGATGCATCAGCATCCTATGAACTGGTGATAGCTCAAGGTTCTGAAATCTATCCTCATTCACCTGGGCTGCAAGGCTGTTGCAAAAATGCTGTCATCTTGATCTTGTTTATGGTTGTAGTTGGTCTGTCACTCAAGCTGTTCATGTGCCACAGCTGTTGTTTTAATTAGGCCGATGATGACACAATAGGATGACTGCATTAGCTGGCTACGTGCCACTTTGATTCATGTACTCTCTTTTCTGTTAACTTGTTGCCCTTCTCGGCTTGCCAAACTACTTAATTTCGCTCATCGTTTTAATTTGCTTCTTTGATTATGCAATGTAGCGGCAATGTATGTGTTGATTAAATGGAATTAGTCTAAGGCCTATGTCTTTTGTACATTTTCATTCAAAGTGTTTGCTTCTCTATTGATCATGTCGTTCTTCCTTCTCTTTGGGCAAAGCCGAAAGCAAAGAATTTGGCAAACACAATTTGTGCTTGATAGTTGGTGGCGGTTGGCGCTTGAGCCCTACTGAGTATTGGGTCACAAACACCAGCTCACCTTGGCCGGGCTGAATCGGCACAGTCAGCAAACAAACAAGCTGCGTTAAAGTTAGTTAAGCAGCGAACACCTTACGCCTGGTCCGTTTAATTTGGCTAGGCCGTCTTTGTTGGTCCAAAGCGCAAACGCGCGCCCTAAGAATTTGCGACAACAATATTACACAATCAACTTTAAAAGGACAACTCATAATTTATAGTTTTTTATAGGCAAACAATAACAAAATTGTATGTTTGCATGAACAAGAACAAAAAATCAGGCTCTTATAAGTAGAGATACATAAGAAGTAAAATTAAATAAATAAGGCACATATCCATGACATGCCGAGGCCACTACTTGCACCACAACCGTACTGAATTCGTCGGCGGTCCACATTTATCGCTTAACCATGCCATGCGTCGTCCCGGTCCCGTGCTAGTCGTCGTCGTTGGCGCGCGCACCATCTCATCTCTGCATTGCATGCATTCGCGGCGCGCCATGGAAAATTCTTCCCCATTCTTCCCGGCGCCCCATCCTCCCCTGCATTCGTCCTCCCCGACCCCGAGCCCCGGCCCGGCCGCCCATGTCGCGTGAGACGCCGCCCGCCCCGCACCTGCAAGGGGAGGGCACCGTCAACAAGAGCCGCTTCTGCTTCCCGCCCAACGCCGTCGCCACCTCCGCCGGCGTCTTCGCCGGCGACGACCCGCTCAAGTTCTACTTCCCGCTCCTCCTCTACCATGTCTGCGCCGTCTTCGCGCTCTCCCGCGGCGTCCACGCCCTGCTCAGCCGGGCCAACGTGCCCCTCGTCATCTCCCAGATCGTGGTACGTAGGAGTACTTACGTTGCATGATGCATGCGTGCCAAATGCTGTATGTAGTACACGGCCGGCGCGCTAATTGCAGCGTGTGCACACAACAGGCCGGCGCGCTGCTCGGGCCGTCGCTCCTCGGCCAGGTGCTCCCGCACGCCAGCGAGCTCTTCGCCACGCCGGAGGGGTGGGTGCAGCTCAACACGGTGGGCGCGTACGCCTTCGTGCTGCAGATCTTCGTCATCGGCGTGAAGACGGACCTGGGCATGATCGTCAAGTCCGGGAAGAAGGCCGTGGCCATCGCCTTCTTCGGCACCGTGGGGCCGCACCTGGCCATGTACGCCGCCGCCGCCGCGGGCGGGCGCACGTGCCGGCGCCGTGGAAGGCCAACTTCATGCTCACCAACCTCAACGTGTGGTGGTCGCTCTCGGCCTTCATCGTCGTCTGCACCACGCTGGGTGACCTCAACCTCCTCTCCTCCAAGCTGGGGCGCCTCGCCATGTCCGCCGCGCTCATCGGCGACTTCGCCAACACCTTCTCCATCGCGGGCATCACGTCCTACCTCCTCGCGTCCAGCCCATCGGAGAAGGTCCAGCGGATCGGCTTCCTGTCGCTCCTCACCTCCGCCATCTTCATCGGCTTCCTGGCCTTCGTGGCGCGCCCGGCCATCCTGCGCCTCATGCGCGACGTCCCCGAGGGCGGCCTCCTCTGCGAGGCGCGCCTCGTCGCCGTGCTGCTCACCACCATCGTCTGCAGCTTCGCCGGCGAGATCATAGGCCTGCACGCCACCTACGGGCCCTTCATGCTGGGGCTCATGCTCCCCGGCGGCGCCCCGCTCGGGGTCACCCTCGGGGAGCGCCTGGACCGCCTCGTCGCCGGGGTGCTCATGCCGCTGCTCTTCGCGCAGGGAGGCCTGAGGCTGGACGTATTCAAGATCGCCGATGCCTCCATATGCCTCCTCCTCCAGTTCTTCCTCGTCGTCGGCGTCGCCGCCAAGCAGGTGTCCTGCATGCTGCCCTGCCTCTACTGCGGGATGCCGCTCCGGGAGGCCTTCATCCTCGGCCTCATGATGAACTTCAAGGGCATCACCGAGGTCGCCTACGCCTCGGCGTTCATGGACTCTGACGTCTTCGACGAGCAGGTGTACGCCGCGTTCATGCTCAACGTGCTGCTGCTGGGCGCCGCCACGGCGTCGGTGGTCAAGCACATGTACCACCCGGAGGAGAAGTACGTGGCGTACCGCCGCCGCACGGTGCAGCACAAGAAGCTGGGCGACGAGCTGCGGGTGCTGGTGTGCGTGCACTCGCAGGCGGACGTGGCGCCCATGCTGGCGCTGCTGGACGCCGCCAGCGCGTCGCCCGTGTCACCCGTCGCCGTCTACCTCCTCCACCTCGCGCCGCTCGTGGGGCTCACCAGCTCCGTGCTCCGCGCCTTCAAGCACGGCGACCGGAACTGCGTGCCGTCGGGCGGCACCGACTCGGAGCGCATCGTCAACGCCTTCCAGTACTTCGTGCAGCAGCGCCCCGTGGGGTCCGCGTCGCTGCTCCCCTACGTCTGCATCGCGCCCTACGCCACCATGCACGACGACGCCTGCGCCGTCGCGCTCGAGAAGCGCGCCATGCTCATCGTCGTGCCCTTCCACCAGCGCCTTGCCATCGACGGCTCTGTCGAGAACACCACGGCCAGCGCCGGATCCGTCCAGGCTGCCAACGTCAACGTGCTCAACTACTCCCCCTGCTCCGTCGCCATCCTCGTCGACCGCGGCAGCCTCTCCGTCGTGCCCGCCGGGGCCGCCACCGACGGCTTCCCTCACCGCATCGCGCTCTACTTCCTCGGCGGGCCCGACGACCGGGAGGCGCTCGCGCTCGCCACGTACATGGCCGAGGACGCGCCCATCGGCCTCACAGTGTTCCGCTTCCTGCCGCCGCCGGAGTGGCGCAAGGGCGGCGACCCCGAGGAGGACCGGCTCGACGAGGAGGCGCTGCAGGAGTACGTCAGCCTGTGGGTCGACGACCACCGCGTCGCCTACAGCGAGAACCTGGTCTGTGGCTCCGATGAGATGGTGGGCATCATCCGGAAGTCCAGCCCGGCGTCGGACCTGCTGATCGTCGGCCGGCGAGCGGACGGCCCCAAGTCACCGCTGACGGTCGGCATATCGGACTGGAGCGAGCACCTGGAGCTCGGCGTCCTCGGGGACCTGCTCACGTCCACGGACTTTGGATGCCAGGTGTCAACGTTGGTGGTGCAGCAGCAGACCAGGGCAGCCGCCGGGGAAATCAGCCGGTCGCCGCAGAAGAACACGGAGAAGCCACCTGAATCTGACGGCCACGTTTGACACTACTATATATAATATGCGACTTTATTTGTTTAGCTGCTTCTCTCTAGATGTAACCGTAATCAATGTACTTTGCGTAGCTTATTGGCAGCTAGAATACATTTTTTGGAAGAAAAACTACAAACATACAGACCCTGAGGCTCACAGCAACATAAAAGGCATACGAGTTATTCATGAAGGTTTAACAGGCTACATCACCAAAACCTGATGGATAAGATCAGGGATGGTTTCTTTTCTTCAGATTTCACCAAATTCAGTAAAGTTCCCAAGAAATAATTCTCCCCATCAAAACAGAATTTAATTGCATCTCAGGCAGCACTAAACTACAGTGATTGGAGCACTAGGATAGAACTGCTCAAAGTAAAGGAAAGCTTCTGACTTTCAGTTGTCTGCGAGTGAAGCTCTTGACTACTAAAACTGTCACAAGCTTCAATTTTCTGCAAAATAGTGGAAGTCACCGGTACTGAGCACTGTGATCCTGCATATGCTACAGAGGAACTCATGTGCGGGGTGCACGACCCATGGAAGAGCCATTCTGAAAGTTCCATGAGGAATTCGTGCCACGGGATCGATCAGGAGCTGGAAGTGCAGGCATTTGATTCACATCTCTGAAGTCAGAGTGAACATTTCCTGCATAATTTGCAACTGAGTAAGATCTCAGAACTCTAGGAATCAAGCTTCAATAAGTAAATCAGGTGATCACAACAAAATTATTAGCAAGTGGCAGGCAAGAGAAGTGTGACCAACATCAGTATCGGCCAAGATCTTGAAAGCCAATTGAAGGCATACACTCAAATGAGACAGCGGTGTCAAACAACACATCCTTCTACCTTTGTGCTGCTGACTACATGGGATTTGTGTCATGATCTTGTTACCGTGGTTAACTGTTGTTATTTGTGATTAACTGTTATGTCACATACTATATACGCTGTAGATTTGTTTGTTAAATGCATGCCTAGGGGTGGGTACATGCAGCCATACATACAAAGCGATCCATTCCCCAATGTTCTGTGGTTCTGCTTAATACCCGTAATATTTATTTTTTTGTCAAAATCCAAAGGTCTTATCTACAACAGAACTTCGTAAGTGATTATTACCGAAGCAAGAATGCCGAACGTTTAACGGAGTGCTTATTTACATTGTGTGGAACATATGGAAGGAAAGGAATAGGAGGATTTTCAAAAATGAGCACCAAGCGGCAGAGCAAGTCGCCTATCTAGCCAAAGAGGACACTATTCCAATGACCGGTGTGTATTGCGGGGTAAAACACGTGCGTGAGTGGTGGATGCTATTTCTTGGTCCTATGACCGGTGTTCTTAGGCACCGTGGGTGCTATTGTACATAAAACTCTTTTTCCTTCTTAATTGAGCGGCAGAGCTCCTGCCTTTACTTTTCAAAAAAACACTTCAGAAATATTACCATTATCACAGGATATCTAAACCACTATATATAAGTCAATATTCATACCCCATCTACAGTAGTTGCCATTGCTCTAGGGGATTGGATTACTGTTGCGAAGCAGTTGTGTAAAGAACTCAAGAAACCATCGCTAGTACAAAGAAACAAACATTATGGTCAAACCCTTGATTTCGCAAAAAGAAATTTGACTCTATACTGTCCTTCTCTTCTAATATGATCAGGCAAAAAAGAATTGTTTGAGTGCACGTGCGAGAGAAATAGAGGGTGGGGGCGCTGTAGGCTATACCGTTGCCAAGCATGTTCATCCTAGGATCCCAGCCAGGCATATTCTCCCTGGCATTTCTTTGCCACGATTCCTCAAACCCAGCAAGCTCATCTGAATGGAAAAGGGAAAATGGCATCAGAATCAGTTTGGAAGGAAAACAATAAGGCACCAAAAAAGAAAAACACTAAACCTTCATTCAAGTTGTGTAAAGTTTGAAGGGTGTTCACACGTCCATCAGAATTAAGATTTCTTGCTAGTGAGTGACCCTGCAACGTGCCAACAACAGATAGTAAGTAGCTCCAATCACAACATCAGTGCGATTGGATGAGAGAAAGCAAGAGATCTGTGAGGAATATCAATAATACCTTACTGCCAATGCCACGTGAAATCCTGTGAGATGCTTTACCAGTAGTTGTGTCAGCCTCCTTACTTTCTTCCAGTGTAATCTAACGCATTAACAAATAATTAACACTATAACTTTGGACCCAACAAATATACAGATGAAGAAAACAGCACTCATGAGATATACTTACTCCATCTGCACCAGTCCTCCTAGTCGTTGAAGATGTATAACAGGCTCCATTTGGACCACCATATGTAACAGTTGAACTCTGAAACATAAATGTCTGAGGCTGTGGACGTGATGTGCTAGCTCTGCTGAACTCCCTCCCAAATTGTCCATGCTTAGGTCTTTTATTATCTGCTAAAAAATGTGTATGCATTAGTAGCTTCCACTTGTAATGTCAATTCTTTACAACACAAACTAAGGGAATATTTTAAAAAGATACTCTGCTAAACAGAATAAAATAGCAGTTCAATGATAACCTGTCACCTAAAAGGCTGAATATCAATTGAGTAGGCTGCCTAGCAATACCATGAGATGAGATGAGATCATATTGAAACTATGTGGTACAATAGGTTTTCTGACGATCGATGAAGTTGATTAGTTATTTACATTGTATGAGGTCCATGTATATTTGCTGAATCCAAAAAATGTTATTTACTGAATGTCCCCAAGAATTGCCAGAAAATATTTCAGAAAGGACAGAAATGTGGTATAAGGCACAAGACAGGATCAGGCAATGTAAATTCAAATGATTGCTTAATGCAAATTTGAACAGGGAACAGTAACATGCCCAAGAAGGTAAATGAACTGACCTTCTACTTCTTCATCCAGGTCCTCCACATACGGCTCTTTGCTTTCCCTTGGATGCTTCCTAAAGTTACCATTCTTCTTCTCATCTTCTTTATCATCGTCTGCACCATCCTCGTCATCTGAAGACAACTCCTTGATAATTGGCCCTTTAGGTCTGCTTGGTTCAGGGGCCTGCTGAATGAAACCACTGGCATTGCTCATGCCTTGACTGAGATGTGCCTGGCTTCCAAGCATGCCTCCATTGAGATCGCCATAGGGCGCAAACATATTTGGCCCAAGCAAGCTAGGTTGCATCATGCTACCAAAGGGGTTCATGAAGCTAGGTTGCATCATGCTGCTGAAAGGGGTTGGGAAACTAGGTTGCATCATGCTACCAAAGGGGTTTGTGAAGAAAGGGTCGTCAAAGGGATTTGCGCCACCAAAGAAACCGGGCATAAGGCTCCCTGGCTGTCCAAAGCTGCCGAAACCAACAAAAGGGTCCCCGAACCCGAACGAGCCCTGCCTTCCACCTCTTCCCCCTTGCATCTTCTGTTACAACACCTTACCTGGTTCAAAATACAGGCAAAAGGTATTAAATGATTGTGTCGTGTAGATAGTAAGATACAGTCACATAACTCCAGCCTGAGCTCCAGTTCAAAAATCATCAATTCACATGAACAAGTGGCAGCATGGTCCATAGGTAAATAAACAGCAAACCATAATGTGATAACTGAAACTGCAACATCACACAATCAAGTGGAGTCCAGACACTCTTTGTCCCAAGACCAAACCTCCATAAATTAGATGATCAAACATGACGTCCAAAACTCACTGACAGCAATAACGTTAATTCTACAATATCATATCTGCAGTAAACCAGTGATGAAAGAAGCCGACAGTTATCCATTTCGAGGAAGGAGACCTACTGCCAGAGGCGGAGATTAATAAAAGCAAGCTGGGCCATGGCCCCCCCTGCCCAACTAATTTGCATTGTCTACACAGTAATTTCGGTACTGTTCATCAATGTTTAATGATCAATTACATAGGCTTTCTTCCCCACCACCAAAATACCAATACACCAGCTAAGCTGAACAGGAGAAACTATTCCTCCCTCGTCAATCCAGTGCCAGTGAAATGCAGAAGTGAGACACTAATTTCCCACGCATTCAACACCATCGTCGGACACCCTACGACCAAGCATAAATACAGTAATTCATCCGACATGTACTACTAGTCTACTACCAGTGTCACCACTCAAACATCATAGCAAATCACAGCATGTGCCTCAGGCATCAGACGACAAGGGAGTAGGAGTATCATGATCAACCTCTTCTTCCCGCAGGACAGCACTAGCCGTACACAATTAGTTTTCCTAACCGGAAAACAAAATCAAAATGGATCCTACACCGGACTCGAAACGGATGATGCCTTACTTAAAAAAACGTTGCGCAGATCACTGAGACTTGCACGAACAAGCAGCCGAAACCGAAACCCCAGACCGAAAATAATGGGGCGCAAATCGCATAGGCGGGGCCGGGGGAAATAGTCAAAGCACCAGACCTGAAATAGCGGGGGACGCGCGGCGTGCGAAGGGATCTGTCGGATCGGACCGGACCAGACGGTAGCTCTCGAGGTCTGGGAATGGCGGATGCGAGCAAGGCTCCGATCGGGAGAGGGGGAGGCGACGCGGCGCGGCGGGGCGGGGCGGGGAGGTGGGTGGGGAGGGGAAAAATCCCGTGTGGCCGTGTCGAGCAACGGTGGAGACGTGGAGTGGAAGGAACACGAAAGGAGAGAGTTCTAGAAGGGCTACTAGAACTGGCTGGATGCTGAATCTGCTGTGGGTGACGGCCCATTGGCCCAATTATGATAGGGGCTAGGCCCGCCGTAAATTGGCTCACTGATGGGAAAGCTACAGCCTGGACCACGCGGCCCGTTTCTCTTCCTCTGGTTTCTATTTGTTTTTGAAAACCAGTGGCCATGCACGCATGCACACTCAGCCCATAAGCGCATCCACGCAAAATTTACCCCAATTCATTGGAAGAAGCTCATGATGTGCTGAAAGCATCTCCAAAGATTTGGTAAAATTGTTCCCTAAAATTAGTTTTGGAGTAAAGGTGAAAATTCTAAGTCCAACAACTCCTTACCAATGTTTGCATTTTTTTTCCAATGTGTCGTAAAATA